GGAACACAAGCAGGGGGAGTGGGAGAGGGAGAAGCAGGCTTCCCGCCGAGCAGGGAGCCCGATGTGGGACTTGATCCCAGGACTCTGGGATCATGACCTGAGTTGAAGGCAGCCGCTTATCGACTGAGCCACCCAGGTGCCCTACTACTTCTATTTTAATACCAACTTCTAAATAAGCATTTAGTTATACTCAGTATTTAGTAATTTTACAAATAAATTAGAAGCAAATTTGTAAATGCTAGTAGTGAAGACAAAAACTAATTTGAAAGCAGGTGCTTGGGTGGCTCAGTTGGTTAAACGTCTGATTCTTGATTTTGGCTCAGGTCAGGACCTCAGGGTTGTGAGGGAGCCCCACGAAGGACTCCATGTGTGGAGCCTCCTTAAGATTCTCTCTGCCCCTCGTCCCTCCTTGTGTGAGTGCACTCTCTCTCTCTCAAAACAAAAAACAACCCAAAAAAAACTAAAGTGGAAGGAATGGGAAGGATGGCAGATACAAAGATTTCATGATCTAAAAGTTCATTTGCAATATTATACACAAAATCTAAAAATCTGGTATTTGTCTGGAACATGTGTTTAATTCAAAAGCAAAATAATGATAAATAAGGCCGGGGAATTAGGTCCAACTCTTACCATTTTGGTATATTTTCTTTCAGTCTTTCAAGCATATATATTTTATATTAACTATTTAATTGTATTTTACTTTGTAAATAGTACAATATCCATTTTTTCCCTTTTGCTATACAGACTTCAAAACTATCAACAAGTACACTTTTACCGTAACATCTCAGAGAACATTTTGGTCCCTAACTCCAGAACAGTAAACAAGTGTCTCACCATTGATGCCATCTGGGCCCTCATCTACCTCCATCTGGGCCTCTTCTTCTTGATCTAGATTAACATCAGGTGTTTCTACACGGATGATTGACTTATTCAGTAGCCTGAAAGCTTCCTTCACATGTTTAGGCTGGACCTAAACCAATCAAGATGAAGTAAATCAGAAAGTCAGTGTTCTTGATACACCACACAGATTTTCTCCATACCAAATCACAGTGGCATTTTAGTTTTCTCACACACATAGAATATGAGTTAACACCATAAATTCACCAGAATGGCTTATAAGGACCAATAATATATAGTACTGGAAAGAATGTAGAACAACTTTCATTCACTGCTGGTGGGAATATAAATCGATACAACCACTATGGAAAAGCATTTTGGCAGTCTTAACTGAACACACCTACAACCTGTGACAACAATTCCACTTCTAGGTGTATACCCAACAGAAATGTACACACACATATATAGACCAAAAGATATGTATATCCCATGAGAACCCAAATTGGAAACTATCCAAATATCCATTAACAGAACAGGTGAATCACTGTGATGTATTGACAGAATATTACAAAGCAATGAAAACAGGCAAACTATTGCTACACAAAGCCTGGATGGTATCTTATAGTGTTAATGCTGTATAAAAGAAACCAGACACAAGGGGGGACATACTCTATGATCGCGCTTATATAGAGTAATGGTTATCCTTAAATCCTCACATATATGGTCAAAAGTTTTTTTGACAAGGGTGTCAAGACCACTCCTTGGGGAAAGCATAGTCTCTTCAACAAATGGTACTGTGGAAACTGGGTATCTTATATAAAAGAATGAAGTTAGACCCCTGCCTTACATCACATACAAAATTAACTTAAAATAGATTGAAGACCTACCTAAAACTATAAAACTTTTGTAAGAAAACACAGGAAAAAAGCCTCAGGACATTGGATTTGATAATGGTGTCAAAAGCACAGGCAACAAAAGAGAAAAATGACAAATGAAACAGTATAAAATTCCAAAAACTTCTGAGCATCAAGGTAATCAACAGAGTAAAAAAGGCAACCTACAGAATGGGATAAAGTATCTGCATGTTATATATCTAATAAGGGATGAATATCCAAAACATATAAATACCCATGTTCATCACAGCATTATTCACAACAGCCAAGAGGTGGAAGTGACCCAAATGTCCACTGATGGATCAATGGGTAAATAAAATGTGGTACACAGTATCTCCCCTTACTCTCAGGGATTATGTTCCAAGACCCCCAGTGGATGCCTAAATTGCAGATAGTACTTAACCTTACATAAACTGTTTTTTCCTATTCATACATACCTATGATAAAGTTTATCAACTAGGTACAGTAAGAGCTTAACAATAACTAATAATAAAATGGAACAATTACAACAATATACTGTAATGAAAGTTATGTGAATGTGGTCTCTCTCTCTCAAAATAACTTATTACATTGTACTCACCCTTCCTGTGATGTGATGATGTCGCTTTAGGCTACTACTGACTTTCTCACAATACTTCAGGAGGATCATCTACCTCTTAATGGTAACTCACCTCTATATGTACTCTATAATCTATGACATGATTATTTCAACATATTAATCTAACTATATTTAATAAATGTTTACCAGCAACCTTCAAGGGACAAATCCTAGCATCGTGTATCCTATGAGCACTCAACGGACATACCAAAGATAAAAACATGCTTATAAACCAACAAATCAATTGCTCTTTCCTCCCGTTATGTTAAGGTTACTTTGATACCTCGTCACAGCAGTGCATCCGAGCCATTGCTTCAGAGAGACGGATCATGCTCTCGAGCTGTCGCACTGTAATCCTCCATGAAGACTTGGTTACCCCAGAGCCATCCCTCTGGCGGAGACGTTTATACTGTTCTACAATGAAGTCCTCTGACTCTTTAGAAATCTGTTTCAGAACATCACCAAAGTCAGAGCTTTTCTACTTGATGGGAGCTGTATTAAACATAAGTTTAAGAGCCTTCCAGGTAGAGACACTCTGGGGAACTCTGAGGGTCAAAACTCTGTAGTCAACAAAGAATTAACACTGAAATGCATTTCAAAAGAAATTAAACTGGGGTGCCTGGGTGGCTCAGCTGGTTAAGCGTCTGTCTTCAGCTCAGGTCATGATCCCAGGGTCCTGGGATCGAGTCCCACATCAGGCTCCCTGCTCAGTGGGGAGCCTGCTTCTCCCTCTCCCTCTGCCTCTCCCCATCTGCTTGTGCTCTCTCACTCTGACAAATAAATAAATAAAATCTTAAAAAAAAATCATGCTCTCTTTCAATGAATTTTTAATAAAATGAGAATATACTTATAAAATATCTTAAGTTTAAACAGTAGGATTTACAAGTATGGCATATATGTTACATACTATGTATACAAATATACATACTGCCGAAACCTACTGAATCAGAACCTGAATCAAAATTAGCTTTGAAGCAGGAATATGGACAATTGCAATTACGCTCTTCTCACTACCTATCAGTATATCCCTATTTTATCTGTCTTCTTTGCCGGAATGAAAACTTCAGCTAGAATGCATAACTTGCTTTGCAGGAGAGAAAGGGGAGACTGAGGGAGGACGGGCAATCTTGAAGCCTTGGAGAGTCGGAGGCAGGACTGGAGAAGGAAGGGCAGAAAGATACTCCGTGGTGGCACAGACTCAGGATTGGGGAAGGAGTGCTGAAAAGAGATTTTCAAAGGAAATGCTGGGCACTCTGCAATATGAGCCACTTGTGCCCCTCTCCATGGGGAAGTTTTCAGTACAATGTTATTTTCTCACTAATGAATACACATGACAAGATTATTGAAGGGGAGTGAGAAGAAATGCTAAGTCCTGCTGTAAGGAGGGTAGGGGAAGGTGGGTGATGAAGATGGCCAGTGGGTCAGCCATCAGGGTGGTGTGCACTTACCTTGAGAAGCATATTTTTCATGGTAAATCTCATAGGCTTTTCTGTGGGCATCAGTGAGGGTCTGGAGACGTGAAGATCTTGATTCCTGTTGGGGAAGCTCTTTTATCACCTCCTCCAAGTCACTAAACGTGAACCAGATCTCAACCAGGTCCCCAAAGGAGTGGAAGGCGAATGTGGCATAGTCTGCAAAGAGATCAGCAAAGACTGCACTTCTCCGGATGGTGCTGGCGGGGAGGGTCTGTTGATGCAGAACGACCAGGGGCTGAAGCTGCGCTGTCTTGAGGGTCTCGAGGAATCGCCGGTAGCACTGCACTGTCTTGCTGTCTGGGTTCTCGGAGCTTCCTGCTGGGAGAAGTTGTGCCCACGGCAGAAATACTTTATAATGGGTGATCTCACTGGCATGAACACGCCTGAAGTACTCCGGCAGGGAAGAAGGCAGTGGTTGTTGACAAACATAAACGCTTTTGTCCTCTGCTGCAAAGTTAGAACCTTGGGTTCCCGGTGGACCACCCAGGTTGTACAGCAAGTCATTGGTGAGAGGACCAGCAGCTGAAATGAAGTTTCTATCAGATTCCCAATCTAACCCCCAGCATGAAAAGCTTAGGAGGACAATAAACACTGAATTCCAAGCCAGCTCCATTTTCAAGGACCTGTTAGGAAGTATGTGGAATCCTTACTTTTATAACAATAGCTAGGTTGTAAAATGCTAAGTGATTATTAACACTTAATATTTAACTGGGTTATCTATGGTAATGAAATCAGTGCACGGCTTACCAGCATAATATCAAAAATTTAAAGACCATAGAGATAACACGAAAACCTCAAACATCTCACATAATTTAAGCAGATGAGCCTGGAAAATGTATGAAGGGGAAAAGTAGTCCACATTTTTCCCTGAATTATGAATTATTTTAAAATTCGTTTACATAATAGAACAAAGGTGAATCCTTGTCGAGCCTTTCTCCCCCCTTAAAAATATGTAAGTAGGGGCGCCTGGGTGGCTCACTTGGTTAAGTGTTGGACTCTTGGTTTTGGCTCAGGTCATGATCTCGGGGTCCTGGGATTGAGCCCTCCATCGGGCTCTGCACTCATCATGGAGTCTCCTTGAGATTCTCTCCCTCTCCCTCTGCCCTTCCCCCTGCTCTCTCTCTCTAAAATAAATAGAGAAAATCTTTTTAAAAATTATAAAATGTAAAGAAATATATATAAGTAAATGATGAACATTGTGTAAAAGATTCAAATATAGAAACATATATGAAAAACCTGCAAATTCCCCTTCTCCAGCCCCTCTTGCCTTCCTCAGGTAAGCACTCTCAACACTGTGCTTCCTTCCAGTTTTCTTTCTTTCTGTAGTTCAATGATTATTCAGGAGTCAGAATGCTTGGGTTTAAATCTTATCTGGTGAAAGTTACTTAATTTCTCCATGTCTGTTTCCTCATTGGTAAAAATAGTGAATAGATAAGTTGTGAGAATGAAATGAGATCATTCTTTAGCATGTTTAGAACAAGGCAACTCAATGAAAACTATTACTAAATATATACAAATGCAAACATATGTAAGTGTATAACATTTTAAACGTATAATTTAACGTATATGGGATTATGCCTTATGTATTGTTCCTCAGGTTTCTTTTTTTCCACTTAACAGCTTCTGGAACTCTGTCTATATCAGAATATATAGAACCACTTATTTTTAACAGATGCATAGCATTCCACATAAGGATGTACCCTAATTGAATCTCTAGCATATAGAACACTGGTTGATTCCTAATTTTAATGTGTTGCAAATGAATATCTATATCTATACATCTTTGTCTAGATGTATGACCATGTCTTTAAGACAGAGTCTTAGAAATTAAGTTCTGGACTCAATGTTATACACATTAGAATTTTGATTGAAATCCAAATAGTCTTCCAAAACAGGCTTCTTCAAATTTAAATCCTACCTAACGTTAGGAGGATGCCTAAATCTCTACTTTGCTAACACCTGTTATAAAACTTCACATTTTTCACACTTTGAAAGATGAAAATATTATCTTCTTGTTGATTTCTCATTTTTCTGCTTAAAGGGGATAGCTAGCTGTTCATGTTATACCATATATGTGTGGGTTTATTTCTGGGCTATTTTCTTCCCTTCACCTATGTGTGTTTTTAGGCCAATACCATACTATTTTGATTACTATAGCTTTGTAATATAGTTTGAAATCAGGGACTTTGATGCCTCCAGTTTTGTTTTTCTTTCTCAAGATTGCTTTGGCTTGTCAGGGCCTTTTGTGGTTCCATACACATTTTAGAATTATTTGTTCTATTTCTATGAAAAATGCCAATGGAATTTTGTTAGGGATTACATTAAATCCATAGATTGGGTTGTATGGACATTTTAACAATGTTAATTCTTCCAATTCATGAGCATGGAATATCTTCCCATTTATTTGTATCTTCTTCAATTTACTTCATCAATGTCTCACGGTTTTTAGTGTACAGGTCTTTCACATCTTTGGTTAAATCTACTCCTAGGTATTTTATTCTTGATGCAATTGTGAGATTGTTTTCTTAAATTCTCTTTCCAATAGTTCATTGTTAGTGTATAGAAATTCAACACATTTTTGCATATTGATTTTGTATGTTACAACTTTACTGAATTTATTGATTCCAACAATTTTTTTGGTGGATTCTCTAGAGTTTTCTATATGTAATATCATATCATCTGCAAATAATGATAGTTTACATCTTCCTTTCTGATTTGGATCCCTTCATTTCATTTTCTTGCCTAATTGCTCTGGCTTAGACTTCCAATACTAGATTAATAAAAGTGGTGAGAGTGGGCATTCTTGTCTCCTTCCTGACCTTAGGTGAACAGTTTTCAGCTTTTCGCTATTTGAGTATGATGTTAGCTGTGGGTTTGTTGTATATGGCCTTTATTATGTTGAGGTACATTCCCTCTATACCCACTTTGTTGAGTTTTTATCATAAATGGATGTTGAATTTTGTCAAGTGATTTTTCTTCATCTACTGAGGTGGTCATATTTTTGTCCTTCATTTTGTTAATGTGGTGTATCACACTGATTTGCAGATGTTGAACCATCCTTACATCCCTGGAACAAATCCCACTTGATCATGGTGTATGATCCTTTTAATATATTTTTTAATTTGGTGTACTAATATTATGTAAGGACTTTTGCATCAATGTTCATCAGAGACATTGCCTGTAATTTTTTCATTTGGTGACCTTGTCCGATTTGGCATTAGGGTAATGCTGGCCTTGTAAAATAAGTTTATGTGTTCCCTCCTCTTCTATTTTTTGGAAGAGTTGGAGGACTGGCATTAATTTTCTTTAAATGTTTGGTAGAATTCACTATTGAATTCATATAATCCTGTACTTTTGTTTGTTGGGAGGTTTTTGATTATTGATTCAAACTCCTTACTAGTAATTGGTCTGTTCAGATTTTCTATTTCTTTACGACTCAGTCTTGGTAGGTTGTCTATTTCTAGGAATTTATTTCTCCTAGGTTGTTCTATTTGTGTACAATTGCTCATAGTAGTCTCTTACCATCCTTTGTATTTCTGTGCTATCAGTTTTAATGTCTCCTCTTCCTTTGGATTTTGAGTCTTCTCTTTTTTTCTTGGTGAGTCTAGTTAAAGGTTTGTCTTTTGTTTTTTCTTTTCAAAAACCAGCTGTTTCATTGAGCTTTTCTATTGTCTAATTTTAGTCTTTATTTTCTCTTATTTCCTTCCTTCTACTAACATTTGTTCTTTTCTAGTTCTTTGAGATGTTAAGTTAGATTGTTTATTTGAGATCTTTGTTTCTTGATGTAGCTATTTATCCCTGTAAAGTTCCCTCTTAGGGGCGCCTGGCTGGCTCAGTTGGAAGAGTGTGTGAGTCTTGACCTAGGGGTCATGAATTTGAGCCCCATGTTAGGTTTAGAGATTACTTAAATCAATAAAACAAACAAACAAAAAATAAGTTCCCTCTTTGAACTGCTTTTGCTGCATTCCATAAATTTTTGTATGTTGTATTTCCATTTTCATTTGTCTCAGGTATTTTAGAATTTTTTATTTCTTCTTTGAAATTGGTTGTTTGGTAGCATGTTTAATCTCCACATACTTGTTGATTTCCCAGTTTTTTTGTTTGCTTAAGGTTTTACTTATTTGAGAGAGAGAGATATTGAGAGAGCAAGTGGGAGGAGGGGCAGAGGGAGAAGCAGATTCCCTGTGGAGCAGGGAGCCCGACACGGGACTCAATCCCAGGACCCTGGGATCACAACCTGAGCCGAAGGCAGATGCTTAACAGACTGAGCCACCCAGGTGCCCCCGTTTTCTTCTGTAATTGATTTCTAGTTTCACACTAGATTATGGTCAGAAAAGATGCTTAATGATTTCAATCTCCTTCAATTTATTGACTTATTTTGTTGCATAACATGATCTACCCTGGAGAATGTTCCCTGTGTGCTTAAGAAGAACATGTGTTGTTACTTTTGGATGGACTATCCTATATAGGCCTGTTAAGTCCATCTGGTCTAACAGGTCATTTAAATCAATGTTTCCTTATTAGTATTTTGTCTGGATTATCTATTCATTGATCAAAGTGGGTACTGAAGTCTCCCACTATTATTGTATTGCTACCTATTTCTCCCTTTAGGTGTATTAATACTTGCTTTTTGTACTGAGGTACTCCTATGGCTATATTTGCATTTTTTTCCATGTGTCCTGGAGGTAATTTCCATTTCAAACATGTAGGTTTACTCCATTTTTGTTTGTATATCCTACAGTACAGTTGTACCACAATTTATGTAGTCATTTCTTTATTGATGGATACCTGTGGGGATTTTGTGGGAAATACATTATAGCTCAATTACCTTAAAACATTCAAGTCTTCCCATTCAGAAACATGTTACATCTATCCATTTACTAAACACGTGTCTAATTTCTCCATAAGGATCTTATACATGCTCCATCATCCATTAGCCACTTCACCTCCTTGACAAGTAACTTGTACAGAAGGGTGTGTGGAAATATAAGCACACTTATTCAGACATGCAAAAACTGGGGCTTTATTTATAGTAATGACCTCACCTTGCTCTGGAAGCCCTCACTCAAATGGCAAAATTGGGAAGAGGAGGAGTCACCAAAAAACTCATCTTTCCTATGCTTCAAATTTCCCTTTAGGTAAATATTTATCAAATTAAAGTTCAAATTTGTCACGGTGTTTCTTTCAGGACCTCCCCATCTCATTTCATCATGTTGGAAGTCAGTGCAGAGAGGGGCTCTTTCTTGCTGTCCCGAGTTTTCACTAGCCTGTTAACTGAATGTCCTGCCTGTTATTTGTGCCTTATGCTAGCATCTCCTAACTCCCTCAACAGGAAGCTTGGTATCCTAAACCCTGAGGTTTCCTCTTCCCAACAGCTTCTACCTTCATTAGTTAGGAACATACTTTTGACAGAGGAGTTTATAGTCTGTATCTGCTAACTGCACAATTTCTCTATCCATTCCCAGTCCTCCTCACTCTACTGTTTTCAAGCCATTGGAGAATGAACTCACATAAAACATATAAACATTCCCTAACCGGTCCTGCAGGGCCCCAAATGCCATCTGTTGTTAAAAGCTGCAACAGTGTGAACTGCTACATCATGAACATACTAAT